TTTTTTTTTTTTTTTTTTTTTTTTTTTTTTTTTTTTTTTTTTTTTCTAAGGATCTCTTTCATAAGTTTTATTTTCATTTTTCCTTTTTTTTTTTTTCCCCCTTTTAGAAACGATCAGTAGCCTCCAGTAGCTTGAGGCTCGGCAAGGCTCGGCATACTGATAGCAGGAGGGTCGGAATTGATAGCTGGAAAAGGTACTGGTTGTTTAACAATAGCAGGGAGCAACATCAATGAAGTTGATATTTCTAGGCAAAAAAAAGTTACAAAACTCAAAGATAACGACAAGTTGTGGCAAGTTGAAAGGAAAAACAAAAACATAAACAAAAACAAAAACATAAACAAAAACAAAAACAAATAAATAAACAAAAACAAAAACATAAACATAAACAAAAACAAAAACAAAAACTAAAACTAAAAAAGGATAAGGCTTATCCCTTTCTCAAATTAAGGATTAGGAACTCTTGTTTGTAAGAGAATCAGGGGCAGAGCAGAGGTATATCCTCCTTCAAACTAGTGGAGGGGAGTAATCGATGCCATTGACTCGGGTGGGTTAGTGATATAGGTATATCCTCCCTTAGCCATAATGGATGGAAGCATCTGGTGGGCTATAGATGTAAGGGACGCTGAAGACGGTTTCCAACCTCGTTTCTTGTCCTCTTTTCCCTCTCTGCCTACGGTTTACCGGTCAGCTCTGTTTGACTTTATATATATATCGTCACAAATAGAACTGCCCGGTAAACCGTAGGCAGAGAGAGAGAAGAGGACAACAAACGAGGGGCTGAGACAAACAGTTTCGTCGGAGTTTATATCGTCATATATATATATATATGATGATATATATGACGATATATATATATATATATATCGTCACAAACAGAACTGCCCGGTAAAACCGTAGGCAGAGAGAGAGAAGAAACAGAACTGCCCGGTAAACCGTAGGCAGAGAGAGAAGAGGACAACAAACGAGGGGCTGTGACAAACTGTTTCGTCGGAGTTTCACCGCCTCATCAGGAGGCTGAACCCTCAACAGTCTGCAGAATCCCCTCACTGATTACACTATAAATGATAATCTACCTTAACCAAAATCAAAGTAGACTATCACTCGGTGAAAACCATTTCATATACATATATCAATATATATATATATATCGTCACAAACAGAACTGCCCAGTAAACCGCAGGCAGAGAGAGAGAAGAGGACAACAAACGAGGGGCTGTGACAAACTGTTTCGTCGGAGTTTCACCGACTCATCAGGAGGCTGAATAAATATGAAACGGTTTTCACCTGTTAGCAGTAGCGAATGCAGATCCCAGGGCTCGATCCCTAGTTCTGACCTTACCTGTGTACAGTATTGAGTTGACCCCTGAGTGTTTGAACCCGTGACCTGTGTTTTGTTAGTTGTTGTTCGTCTGTCGTAGGACTGTGCAGATGTAGGGATTCGATCTGTAGGTCTGTCAAGTAGGGGTCACAGCTCTGTAGAGGTCGTAGCTATAGGTCTACGGAAAGCTCAAGGTCGTAGCTGCTACAGCCCTGAAAGGTCAAGGTCGTCGCTGCTACAGTACCCGAAAGGCCAAGTCCACAGACTTCCGGAAGGTCCCGGAAGTGGCCTTTCGGAGTGGGCTCACGTTTAGGCAGAGGCAAGTGGGCAAGTGGTGGAGCCAACCTAGTACGTTGGCTGTGCGACTGCTGTGAGTCTGCGGTGCAAACCTGTGCAGCCAGCGGTACCGGTACAGTCAGTCCCAGTCCAATCCAGCAAGTACCATGAGGGACTGTGTGCACCATGGGCCGATGGAAAAGGGCAGACCAGCGAGTTACAGAAGTATAATCAAGAGGCAGCGCCCTGCCATTCGTTCATTCCTGCGTGAGCCATGCGGAGGCGCTGCCACAGCGACTTGTGCGAGGTGGTCTGCAGTGGGCCCGAAGACGAAGTGGGCGAGAAGGAAGCTTAGCCATAGCGATAGGGTAGCAGCGGCCATAGCCACCATAGCTGATAGGAGATAGAGTAGCGTGTGTGAGTGCGTGTGTACAGTGTGTTGCGTGTGGGATATCCAGGGTGATCCTGTGTGTGAACAGCAGTGTTGAGTAAGTGACGAACAGAGAGTTGTACAGGCGATGGGCCGCCATAGCCATTTGAAGTGAACTTGTATCTGAGCTGCGTTCTTGGTTACTGTATCTCTGAGTTCTGAGTGGGCGCTTGACGCCAGT